TCCACATTGGCTTATTTTCATCATGTGCATTGTCCTGCACAGTTAGATTGTCTTTGGGACTAAACCCTCTGTTCACTGGAGGTCGACAGCACTCCCTGGAGTAGTGATAAGTAAAACAACTTCACCAGGGTAAGCAAGCCATTCCTATGTGAGAGTAGAAAGGCACATTGATTTTCTAAATGGGGTCTTACTGAGTAGTCACGGTGCTTGTGGAGTTCTGAGTATGCTGTAAGAAACAAGAAGGGTAAGGAATCTCCTTATTGAAACTGCAATGTAGTATGTGGGATTAAGGTAAGTAACTTGGCCATAGAACAAAGGGACACAAGAATTATTTCACAATGTGTTTCCAGATTTTGGGGAGGGTGATCAAAATTCTCATTTGAAAAACCAGTGGTCTAGTAGAGAAGGAGTCAGGTATTCAAGAAGGGCTAGAATCCACCAGGCGTGGAGCAGAGGTAGATTGAAAGCAAGGAAGAAGAAGGAACAGTGAAATCCCTCCCGGGAAAGCTTACAGGCAGTTTGAGTTATGATTACCTCAGGCCTCATGTGGTCGTCGGATGGGGTCTTTCCATTGACATCATTAAAATCTTGATCACACATGCTATGATATCAGCTGGGTCAGTTTGAACATTTCGTGTATGAGGCTTTGGGTTTGATTCCCCAGAAGTCCAAAAGTGAAATTAAGAACTTAAAATGTACCTAATAAAAGGAAATGCTGTGCAGGGATAATGACAACATCTCATGGTTCTTGCTCACTTGTTATTATATACAAGACTTTGAACACTCTTAATACAGACTGTGCAGTGATAAGTGAGGGGCCTATGACTGTTAGAACAAGGAGCCTGAAAGGATCCCTGTGACTGTTAGAGCAGGGGCCCTGACAGGATCCCTGTGACTGTTAGAGCAAGGGGCCTGAAAGGATCCCTGTGACTGTTAGAGCAAGGGGCCTGAAAGGATCCCTGTGACTGTTAGAGCAGGGGGCCTGAAAGGATCCCTGTGACTGTTAGAGCAGGGGGCCTGAAAGGATCCCTGTGACTGTTAGAGCAGGGGCCTGAAAGGATCCCTGTGACTGTTTGTTAGAGCAAGGGGCCTGACAGGATCCCTGTGACTGTTAGAGCAGGGGGCCTGAAAGGATCCCTGTGACTGTTTGTTAGAGCAAGGGGCCTGTTAGGATCCCTGTGACTGTTAGAGCAAGGGGCCTGACAGGATCCCTGTGACTGTTTGTTAGAGCAAGGGGCCTGACAGGATCCCTGTGACTGTTAGAGCAGGGGGCCTGTGGCTAGTTGAGCAAATGACCCAAAGTACTTCTGATGGACAAAGTTTGACCTTAATTTATCATGGAATTCACAATCACGAAAATCTCAAATTTTACTACTACGCATTTGTAATTTCTTATTCTGCAAATGAAAATAACCTATGAAATCATCTTGGTAGAAGAGTTAATGATGTCAAGACTAATCAACAATGTTTAAGTTTTTTTTTTATTTTGATGTCTGGGAAAGAAATTTACACCCACATTTTAATGATGTGGAATCTAGCACCTCAATACAAATAGGAAGGGAATAGGAAGTAACCAGTGGTCATCTCCGCTTATGTGTGGAACATTGTTGCTAAATTTTGAAAATTTATATTTCCCTTTCAGTCTTTGCTAAAAACAATATTTCTTCCCCAGAAAAATAATCATGAAATCTGATACAAAACTTAGAAGTATTTCTGAGCGTCCTAGCTTTTCCACGGTTTTCCCGGGTACCCATGCTGCTCAGATCATAAAGTCCAAAGAGAAATATTACAAGAACAAGTACATCGCTTCAATGACCTAGGAAACAGGAGTGGTGCAAAAGCCTTCACAGATGATGAAACCTTTAAAAACAAGCGGAATTATTTTCACTCCTATGTAGTCAAGTGATTAGCTTTCTTTTCTTATTAAAGTTATACAGGCTTAAATTCATTTTACTTGATGGAAAATCATTCTATACGTGTTTAAAAGAGATAAGATAAAAAAATAGAAACATTCTTCAAATGAAATTAGAACCATTTCAAAGCTTTTCATGAGCTTCTAAAATTTGGAGTCGTGATGTGATTTAGCCCCCAGAATTTCACATTTTAATGCTTTTTTAAATAATAGAATATTGATCTACACTATATTTAAGACCTATCATTGTAAAATTCTGTATTTTCAGATATGTCATTTAAATCTAATAAGTTAAGACAACATTTTCTAAAATGTAGAATACGTCCGATTTTTCCCAGAGTAACAAACATGTTTTTAGGAAGTGAGTCCCAGCTAGATGTGGTAGAATTGCTAAATGGCTGAATTTGCAAAAGTGGGCGATAATTAAATCGTTACGCTCAGCTCTTATTAAATATTAATGAATTCTCCATGACTTTGAATCAGAGGGTTTTTTACATGGGAGTTTCTGACCGGGTTGTCTGAGTGATGAATCATCTGCCCTGTGGTGGTCTCCGTCAGCTCCACGGTACTCAGAGGCACAACAGCAGAGAATTTAACTGTGGATGACTACGTTATACTTGACTTTTACATAAGAAAAATTAAAAGGAGCTTTCAATATTGATATCACAATGTTTCAGCCTAGAGAAGCAGAAGGTTTCTAAAAGGAAAAGAACTTGACATTAAAAAAAAAAAAAAAAAGCACACTGTGCCGCCCAGACTACAGTCATCTGAAGGCACTCATTCGGGTGGCTCTGGATCTGGATCCGGTTGCACACATGCCAGGGTTAAGCTCAGAAAAGCATCTGGTCCGCAGAAGCGGCTTAGTGTGGTCCCCTCCACCCTCGTCTTGTTTGTTTTTGTAACAAATGTTAGGCACCAGAGAGACAAACGGGTAAAATGTCTATTTCCTTTCCCATCTGGTTCTATGCCAGAGGAAAAAAGTTGGACAAAAAGCGTCAGTTTGTAACATTCTGAATGTTGTGAAGCATATGTCCCCATCCTCCTGCCATGACCACGCATCTGTGCACACAGTTTTCCACCAGTAGGCAATGATGTAGAGATGCCTTGTAAGTAATAAAACCCAGGAATTAACACTATACTTGTGAGACAATAGCTTTATGCTTTATTTCATAGGACTATATTCTAACAAATAAAACACATAGAGTACATGAAAGTGCTGAAATTACTTAAAAAATAAACACAGTGTTTGATGTACAAGAATTCCTCCTTTCTAAGAGGGAAACTGGGTTGGGTTCAGAGATTAAAATACATCTCTTCTAGAAATAACCAGAGAATAGGTAAATAGGACACCCCAACCCACCCCAGAGAAGATATTTAAAAAAAAAACAACAGAAAGATAGGTGGACAGGTAGGTAGGACAGATGGAAGGAAGGAAAAATCATAAAAAGAAGGAGGGCTGAAAAAGGAGATGACAAGCGATGAGTAAGACGAAGGGCTGGATTCTAGAGTTTAGGCCAGTTCTCAGTAACATACCAGTAAAATTCAAATGGGTTTCAGACCCATTGACAGCACCATTGTAACTCCATTCACACCCAATGACAACACCATTGTAACTCCATTTATGCTCAAGGACAGCACCATTGTAACTCCATTCACACCCAATTTCAGCACCATTGTGACTCCATTTATGCACAAGGACAGCACCATTGTGAGTGAATCCATTCATACCCAAGGACAGCACCATTGTGACTCCATTCACACTGAATCACAGCACCATTGTACTCCCCTTATACCCAAGTACAACACCATTGTAAGTTCATTCATACCCAAGACAACACCTTTGTAATTCCATTCATACCCAGTGACAGCACTGTTGTAAGTCCAACTCAAACATCTTTGTCATCTAACAACCTCACGAAAAGGAAAACAGGGCTGAAGAGAGGAGAGGGGAAGAAACAAGGAAAGGGATCAGGAAATTGAGAAAAATCTAAATTAAAGTTGAGAAGAGTGTGGGCCATCCTAGCTTCTTATATCTACAGAACAACTGAAAGTCTGTGCTTTTAACCCTAAAGATTAATAAAATAAACCAAAACATGCCCTTGTAGAGGTAGAATTTTCATTAAGAAGCCGTTTCTGGGTCTAGAAAGCTGGCTCTGTGGTTAGTATGCACTATACTGTAGATACCTGAATTTGGTTCCCAGCACCCAGGTCTGGTAGCTGAAAACTTCCTGCTACTGCAACTCCAGGCAATACAACACTCTCTTCTGACCTTCCTGGGCATGGTACTTAGACACAAATCATACTAAGATGCACAAATATTCATAGTTAAAGATAAATGGAGAAACGGAAATATTTTTCTGAATTTGGGCATGTGTTAATACTTTTCAACAGACTTAATGAACACATTTTGATAGATTACAAATTCTTTTCTGTCAATTTTACTTCCATTTCTCAATAATTCATTAGAGCAGGAAAAGCCATCTATTTGTGTTTGTTGCTTGTACTAAACTCAGAGATTTTGATTCATTTCTGTTAATCATTCTACTTTTCTTTCTGTTTTCACTGCCAAAATATTCTCAAACAACATCTAGATCTTATCAATTGTGCTGTTGTGAAGTTACATTTTCATTCCCAATGCTATTATCACGCTAAATAAAATGGTTTTTATCTCCTAATCCTCTCATTACCTACAAGATGATGTTTATGTTTTTTGTCCCCAGTAAGTATGAAAATAACCCCCTGTTACATTTTGTTCTTGTGTCATATGCAGTTCAGACTTGTAGGTCCACCATCCTATTCTTCCCATGTGCCACTGACGTGTTGCCAGTTTGTAGCGATGTCACAATTGGCGGTGACTGCTTTTCCCATCAACCATGGTGAATGCAAGACACAGTCACATATAGAAGTCTAGAGTTACATTATTTTACAGCACTGTTATTGATTTTATTTTTGGAGAAACAGGCACTGAACTGCAAAGAGATCTGAAGCTTTCTGTACCTCATCTCTCATTTGGGTGCCATGTATTTGTACAATGCATAGAATATTCAGGGATAACTCTATGTGTGGTTCTCTCTTTTGTTGTAAACAGGTCATCAAAAGCCTTGGTCCCTTGGAACTGATTCTTAACACCCCTAGCCATCACAGGGTTCATCATGGTAAGGACTTTTCCTTCATCATTTCTTCAAAAATTACAGTGTCATTTCTGCACTACTTTAGTAAAATTATACTTTGCATGATTATCAGACACTATATAAATATGTATTCTTTCCCATTTTCTATTCAGAGAAACCCTGGCTTCAAAGCATGGGCCAGTGGAAGCGACCTTTCTCAACTGCTTCCCATCTTAGCTAGTTACAGCTGGGAAGTGAGCCAAACAGCTAGATAGGAATGTTCACATCTTGAAAGAGTCCTCTGTAGGATACTCTGACACAGTGCTGGGGATCTACCCTGTCTACACTGAAAATGCTAGTCTTGAAAGATACAGGGATTTTAAAGATGCCTTTATTGTTTTAAGTATGTGTACCACTGTAAATAAAATGGAAAAAGCCAATCAAAAAATCAAGCAGCAACAAAAATGAAACAAGCTTTTTCTAAAAACTTAAAAAATACATATTGGGTTTGAAGAGAACCTAATAACCAGTGTTTGCTTCTGCCTAAGTTCTTTACCTAATTCAGCACGTGCCCAATGGCCTGATGAGGAGACTCCATGTGGCTAGTGCCTATGACAGAGAGGCACCAATTCTACTGAAAAGCAAAATATGTTTTGTCTGGGCAACGCAGGAACCATTAAGAATGCGTAGTATTTGTGATATGAAACTGAAAGTAAATTTGGAATGTGTATGTGTTGCAGCATAAATGAATACACAATAGACTCTTGATGTATGGACACCCATGTAGGGGTGAGGTTGTCCAAGTCACTTCCATATTCACAGGCAAGAATCCATCTTAAGGGCATAATGCTGAGGACCCTGGACAAAGGGTTGAATGCTGTGCATTTGCTGCCCTAAGCCTCTGTCTTCACAGTCTCTTTTAGAATACTAAACTACACAGCTGAGCCTTCTCAAGGGGGACTTGCCCCTTTCTCCCTGGCTGGGGCCACAGCAACATGGGAGAGGATAGGTCAAGCTCTTCAAACTCAGCACTCCCCTCTTCCCTGGGAACAGTTGGCAAGAAGTGGAAGGTTCTCGCAGATTCCATTACACAAACAAAAAAATCAGGAAAGAGGACTCCGCATTGAAAAACAGACAGCTGCTCATTTCTTCTTCTTTGCCTCACCTTCCTAATGCCCCAGACCTCAGTCAGGCTAAGACTTTGTGGTGAAAGCTGTCCTGGGCATTGCAGGGTGCTTAACAGAGTCCCTGATCAATGCCTGCTCTGTGTGTATGCTCCTATGATTGTTATGAACAACCATGTCTTTAGATACTGCCAGCAATCCCTTTAGGGGCAACGTGCTCTCAACTTAGTGGAGAGCTATGCTTAGGTCATGTAAACTCTCTTATCCATTCTCATGCTCCCATGCACAGAGAGTGTGTAGATGAATACAGATTCATGGTTTAGTACATTAAAACTTTTCCTTCGGACTTGGAACCTTTTATATTAATATGCCTATTTAAGTTTTAAAACACGTAAATACTGCTTCCAGTTACTTGCATTAAGTTTAAATTGCAATTTGGAGGCTTTGGAGCTAGAAAATTAACATATTGCTAAAAGTTGCAACTCCAAGAGTAATTTAATTTTTGATCATGCTTTTCCATTATTAAAGTAGTGAAACATTGTTCTAATATTCTTTCTGAAACATCACCAGACAACAAGACTAAAAATAGCATCAAAAACAAAATAAAAGCAAATATATAAATTTCCATGCCAAAGCTCTATTTTTATTATCATGGTTTTGTGTGTATGGATGCTTTGCTTGTATATACACCTGTATATGACATGCTCACAGTTCCCTCAGAGGACAGAAGTGGGTGTCATATAATCGGAACTGCACTTGCAGTTGGCTGTTAGCCACCATGGATGCTGTGGACTGAAACTCAAGTTCTCTGTAAGAACAGCCGTGTTCTTAACAGCTGCACTGTTGTGTCTGCTGCGTGGCCTATGTCCGAGAACGTGCGGAGGGTGTCAGGGATTGACAACACAGAGACTCGTTCAATGATGTAAAGAAAACTTTAAGCCGGCCCCAAAAAGGTTTAAGAAAACTTCCTAAGAAGGCTCCCTCCAGAGAAGCTTCTGCTCTCTCCTCTACCTTGGCTGGTTCTGCTCTGACACCAAAAACTAATCTGGGCGTGTTAGAAGAGGCGGTTAGTCTTTGGACAAGGTCGAGGTCAGGGTGGTTTCCGTGGGCAGGCCTTTTCCAGGAACTTATTGCCCCGGGCATTGTATTGTTTTTAGTAAACATGTTTTTAGTAAACATTATCTTACAGCTGCCTGCTCCCAGGCAGAAGGGGAAGTGGGTCTCTGCTCAAGGTCTGGTGTTCCCACACTGCACCATTCCTCCAACCCCAAATACATGCATTCTCTTTTTGCTTTCCTCTAAACAACATGATTTCTCAGTTCTTCATTAGTTTTACAAAACTGTTTATGTGACCATACCTAGAAATTTAACTAAAACATTGGAAAATGTGCATAAATTAATAAAATCTTTATCTCTTTAATAAAGTTAACTAGAAAATAATTAAGACTACAAATAAAATCCAAGATTTAAAAAACTGATATTATAATTGCAACATTTCTCCCTTCCCTCTCCTCCCTTCAAACCCTCCCCACATACTCCTTCCCATACCCCTTCAAATTGATGGTCTCTTTCTTCACTGATTATTATTGTTTATATGTATGTTTGATATATGATATATATGTATACTGTAAGTGCCAATGCTTACTTACTAGGCCAAGGTCACCTGATATGGTCATGAGGAATTACATCAGGCCCTGTAGAAGGGCCACAGCGCACCTGAGGCTGTGACAATTTCTTTGAGAGCAATCAGACTTTTTATGCCCTTGTCAGAAGCAGATTATAATTGCAATTGCCAGGATCAATACAGATAGGGTGAAGTTTATAAGCCACACAGGCTGCACTAGATTAATATAGAACACCAATTGTCCTGTCAAGCTTCCATGCTTCCCTGAGTACTAAGAGATCATACAGAGAAACGCAAAGCAGCCTCAATGCCTCCCTGCTTGAGCCTGTGCGACCCTATCAGGAACTGGAAAGCACACTCAGGAGTCATGGACTCTAACGTGAAGCAACTAAGACACAAGCCTCTCAAGGCAGTTAGGCCAGGCCAACTCCAAGGTTCTCTGCAATATGTGATGTGTACATATTCTTAAATATGACCTGTCTGTCTTTATAATGTTACTTGTATGTATGTTCTCAAGGTTGACTGTTTGGCAATGAACAACCAGATATTGCGGTCTTCGCTGGGCAAGAACCCCTCTGTCACTCCCAATTTTCCTCAGTTGTTTCTGGCTAGTTGTCTAAGGTTGGGGAAAAGATGTCTTTAGAGCCACTCTGTTGCTTGATTTTTTTCTTGTATGCTTTAAAAATAAGAGAAATAAATGCTTCAAAAGCTCAATGTCACGTATTTGAAAATTCACTTTTAATATTTTGTCTCACAGGGAGAAATCGTTACTGTATAGACAAAAACTATGCTGGCACTCTTATTATTTGGGATAGAATTTTTGGTAAGTAAACTGTACACCTATCAAAATAGTGAAATTAGTTGCTGTGGAAACCATAGAAAATCAATAAACAGATTATAATGTTGATCTTCCAGGGACATTTGAAGCAGAGAACGAACAGGTTGTATATGGTCTAACGCATCCCATTGATTCATTTGAGCCATTCAAAGTTCAGGTAATTCATTCAGCCTTGTTCTTTCTGAGTGCATATAATTTCACGAATCTTATATTTAAGAGGAAGAAGGATGTTGTAGGTGGAAGCACATTGCACTACTGTTAAAATGTTTTACATATAAAGGAATTTGAAATAACTTTTAGCAGTTAAGTGACACTTGAGTCAGACGGGCACAATCTATTAAAACACATTATAAGAATTTTCAAATGTGTCTAATATCTCAAATGCGAAAATAAGTGGCTCTTTGAAAAACATGTTCTTTCTCCGAATAGACCTGAGATATATTCATGTATTCAGCAACAGTGGGGCAACATGTAATTAAGACTGATCCCACAGTAAGAAAAATATTTGCTTCAAGCCTTCAACCTCTGGATAGAAATTCAGCATTTGGCTTTTGCGCCTCTTATGTTAGAAGTGGGTGTCAGGGAGCATTACCCGTCAGTGAGGTCCACATATTACCTCTCCCGCTAAGACTTGGTAGAGCAGACCAATTTTGTGTTAGACATGTGGTATTGCTTGTTCACTGGCCTTAGTGGTCGGCACTAGAGAAATGAAGAATGTCTGCAAAGTTCCCATGTGTCAACATCAGAATACCACAAGGGCTCCTGGGTTAAGGAATCACAAATGAGGAAAAGATAAAAATGCTCTAAAATATGTGATGGTCACCAGTGGCAGTTTTGTGCACTGGACTGGTTGCAATGTCCCGGAAGTAACGAATCCTGTTAGGCCTGTTTTGCAAACCCACTTAAATTGTAATGAACATTGATACAAAAGAAATTATCTACATCTTTTTAAGTCTTTTCTGTGTGAAATACCTGCAAACACAAACCAGTTCATTCACCATCAGTAGTACTCTATGAAGCAGTGATATTGTTTTATTTCCTTTTTCTAGTGTAGGAAACACAGGTTCAGAATTTAAATAATTCCAGATTCAATTGTCAGCTACAAATTTACCCTAGCAAACCAAGACCCAGGCTCACTTAACTGATCCAAACCTACTTAGTTGACTGTGGCTTCACACACCGGTTATGGCTAAAAGCCATAATTTCTATATTGAAAGTCATTTCTATGTATCCAAAGTTGAAAGACTTGCTGGTGTGTGTGTGTGCGTGTGTGTGTGTGTGTGTGTGTGTGTATGTGTGTGTGTGTGTGTGTGTGCATGTGTGCATGTCTTATCTTTCTTTTGTACTACATGGCACTTCTGTTTCCATCTCTACCCCAAGCTGTACTCACAACAGGATGTGTCTCCTGGGAGCATAATAAATATGCTCAGATCTTTACAACCAGCTCTATGAAATTATCACCAATTTAGAAAATTAACTTCAGGTATATTTTCTCCTTAATATGAGTAAATACAGAGAAATGTAAAAGTCCCATTTCTTTAGGACAGAGCTTTCCAAACCTGATGCCAATGTGACACATGCGACCATCTTCGTAAAGTACAGATTCTGTTCAGCAGCACGGCTGCCTATTTGCAATAGATCACAAGTGATGCCATATTATTAATGGGCACATGACATGAGACATGATCAGGGACTGGATATTGTAAGAACTACATACGTAGTTAGATGAAGGAATAGTAATTGACTAAGTGCCAACGTGAGGCAATGAGCCATTTTTGAACCACTGAACATTTGATTCATGTATTAACCCTCCAGATGTCTACATTTCAAATGTTTCCTTCAGCATGGTAGTTGTCATGTGTGGGTCTCAGGTTTATTCCTGAACGTGATCATTTCAGTCAGAAATGTCAAGTCAGCAAGTTATGGTAATGAAGAGTTTATAACACACAAAATTCTTATTTTCAGTGACTTCCCTGTGAATAGAGCTAAATTGTTTATCTAGGTTTTATTACCTGCAAAGGAACTTGGAAATTTCCCCACTAGACACAGGGATATGCTTGCCAATTTTAGGGGTAGACCACTCTGCTCTCTTTTGGAAGACCCAAAGTTCCAGGCAATTGGAAACCTAGTAAATTGGGAAAATGTCATTAAGCTATTATGATATATTGCTCACGGGTAGTATCCAGAATTGTAGATATAAAATTGAAGTCCATTTGCAGAATAACAAAGTGATTTAGTATTTTAATGTGTGTTGGAAGTTCTAAACATACTGATTTTCTGTATTACTAGCACTATAAATGCCCCTAAGCTTCCATCTAATACTAACACCGTCCTCAGAAAATTCTCCATTAAGCCCTGTAATACCTCAGGTTGATTTTTGAATATTTAAAGCAATTATAACATCCATTTTTATAAACCTAGCAATTTAAATTCATCCGGGACTGCCAAAGTACCAGCATGACCACAAATTCTGAGAGCAAAAGCTTCTCTTTCTGTTAATGCATTTCTATGCTTAAAAAAAACCTCACAGTTAGACTCTAAAGTTGATGCCCAAATGCTATGAATATGTTTAATCGCATGGTGCATTATGGGTACTTGTGTGAAATTTCCTATAGTTAAAATTTATTGAGCACTTAGTTGTGGGCATGTTTTTAACTTCTCTGTGTATCAAATGAATGCTATTTAAAGAATACGTAGTCCTGCTGTAACACTCACTGTAAAGTCTGCTTCAGTCACCAGACCTTTTTTTTTTTAGGGACAGAATAAGAGTTATTTAATACTCAAACTCTGCAATCTGAAACGTTTGTGAATACCTTTTGTTAACATCAAATTAGCAATACAATAAATCATTGTTTTAAAAATAATTGAATAGAGTAGCAATCTTAAGATATCTCCATGTTCAATTGTAATATCCATCTGGTAAAATGTTATAAAAGGAGTCAATAGACAAGACTATAGCTTTCACTCAAGCTTGGTAACCTTATTTGATGCAGCCTCACACCTTATTTACTCTGCTTTTATGTTTTTGTAACCAATTATAGTCATTTTTAAATTATAATTTCATTAACTTCAAAGATGTTCATAACACATTAAAGATATATAGGATGTATAGAATTAATTAAAATACAAAATGTGATTGCATATAGATATATATCTATCTTCTTGCATGATGTACATTTAAAATATGTAAATTACACTGAACAAAATAACAAAGTATATAATTAGCTATATTTAATTTCTTATGCTTGTCATACTTAGAATGAACTATATATATATATATATATATATATATATTGTTTTGTTTTGTTTTGTTTTTTCAAGTTTCACCATTTGCTCCATATATGGAATACATTCTGGGCCACACCTGGATTCTTCCATAAGGTTTCTGTCCTATTTAAAGGACCGGGATGGGGTCCAGGTAAACCAAGACTTGGCCTGAGTGAAGAAATTCCAGAGGTAAGTAGAGTTTATGGCAGAGGAGATAGTGAGGCTAGATATGCAGTCAGTCTACATGTGTGCTATCTTCATGTGAAACTATAAAATGATGCTACCTTAGGCAGATGCAAACGGATACCTTAATAAGGACATACCACCATGGAGGTTGATTAAGAAAGGCATTGCCTTCTAGGTGGGCATTGATTCACTACAGCGAGTATAATTTGGGTACTAGAGCGAACAAAACTTGTTTTAGAATCTTTCAAGCCCACAGCTCAGAGCCTCCTCTGGTGAGTCACAAAGGTGCATTGCCTTCCACACACAGTACCACAACATGAGAACCGGATTGAGCTTTAGAAATTGGGCCTATCCTTAACTTCCCTTGTGACAAAATGAAGTTCCCTAAATAAAAGTTATAAAGTCACATGAAGACAGTGAAATTGCTTTGACCAAACATGTTTGAATTTATTTGCTGTTAGGATAGAAATCTTAAGTATAGAAATAATTTGTAAAAGAAAAGAAGAAGAAATATAGAAATTTAGAACAAACATAGAACAGAAAATTAAGAAATTCTTTTTTTTGTTGTTGTTGTTTTGTGTTTTGAAAAAGAATGTTTCTGTGTAGCCTTGGCTGTCCTGGAACTCACTCTGTAGACCAGGCTGGTATATGACTCAAAGATCTGCCTGCCTCTGCCTCCTGAGTGCTGGGATTAAAGAAATGTGCCACTAACATCTGGCCTATGAAACCAAGAAAAATTCAATTTCTATTCAATTCTTCATGATATACAATATGTTTCTTTGTCAAATAAATGTCACAAATACAAGTACAGAAACAATAGGAAGAGTCGATTTTCATTTACAATATAGCATTTTAGATAAAAATCATGTGTCTTAAAGAAAGTTTTTAATTAAATAATACTTTATTGTTTTTAAATATCTTAAATTATCCACATATATTTTATATCCATAATTAGTTGTAGTTAGTCATCTTAATTGAGGTGAAAATTACTTTGATTATTTCTGCTTTAGAAGGAAGGAGGATGTTACTTTTCTTTCTTTTTTGTTAACAGAATAGTCAACATGAATATTTTTAATTATATGACTTCCTACATCTGCTTTATCCAAATAAAAGTATAGCACAGAACTTCTAGAAATCTTAATATTTTAGTAATATTGCTTTAATAAAATTCTACTGTTGTTGAATCAGGATGTGCCCAGAACCACCTGCTCTCATTTTCTTGATATGTTGCTGGACATATTTTCAGATGTGAGAGGTTATTATTTATTCTAATGTATTCTCCTTGGTTGTTGCAATCATTGATAACATATATGAAGCACCTATGTTTCTATTTAAGGAAGACTAAATCATACTTGGAACGCGTCATATTCTACATCAAGAAACAAGTCTCCTAATCTTCAGATGATTTTCTAGCCAAGGAAATGAATGTCAGCATCCTTCTGGAATAAAGATGAAAAATTCTTTTTTCTGTGACTCATCCTTTCCTATACTGTGAACTTTAGCACAAGAGATGAGCCAGGACACAGAATAAGGAAACTGTCTCTCTTATCTACTTAGGTAACAGGACGGGAAGTCCCCTTGTCATCAGCAGCATCCCAGCTCTTAAAGATGTACACCGTCCTGCAGTTTGCAGTAATGTTGGCATTTTATGAAGAGACCTTTGCCAGTACAGAGGTAGGTAGCATTGATTTTAATATAGTTTGTGAAAAAGAATCCATCATTTTTTAAATTAAAGAAAGCTCTTCTTTTGTGACTATGCTCTATTTTTCTTCATAATTGCTTTTGGGGGAATACCACACATTTTAAAAGGGCAAGTTAATTTACTCAAGACTATTAGATGTAAACAAATTAGTTCTATTCAAGTGGTGCTATATGTAGTGATTTGACACTAATCTAAATGGTAAATAAGAAATTATCATATATTTTTGTAATTGAAATAAGAGACTTCAAAATTCAGAATTAAACATGTTTAGGACAGCAAATTTATTATCAATTTTGAGATACCTAATATATTTAGAAAATTGCATGATAGATTGAGTTTAGAGGATTTTCATTGCAAGGTTTACAATAATACCTAATCTGTGAAAACAAGCATAGGTTTACTAAAGTATAGACAGTTTAGGAATGGACATATTCTAGATAATGAGTATTATCCATACTGGCTGTGTTCTAGAGAAAACAAAAGTAACTAAAACCATGAAAAAATGGACTGCAAACTGAAAAAATGACTAAATATTTTAAACAATTTTCTATGCTTCATTGGCTTATTTATAATATATTATTTTTAAAACTGTAGGGTTTCAATAAAAGTAGATAAAAGTCATAAGGAAAGTAAATTAAGAGTAGATAAAATACAACAAATACTCACAGGACAAAAAGATTAATGAAAGTAAAAATTATATGTCTGCTTTTAAGATGATCTACAATTTATGGATTAAATGCTCAAAAATATCTCCGGAAATAAATAAAAGAGATTCCAAAGCATGCAGAATATCTAAGACGCTGAACATGTTCAGGACATGTGAGTGAGGAAGCAACCAAGAGGGTGTTGCTTACTTGGGACTATGGCAGTCACAGTTGCTTTTGGACTCATGAGACAAGGATAGGGGTCAGCTTCAGTCAGATAACACAGCTGGGTTGACTCCAAAATGAAATGTAAAACAAGGGCAAAACACTAATAAAGAATCAATATTGGTCTGGGCAATGGTGGCGCATGTCTTTAATCACAGCACTCGGGAGGCACAGGGAGGCAGATCTCTGAGTTCCAGGACAGTCTCCAAAGCCACAGAGAGACCCTGTCTCGAAAAACCAAAATAAATAAATAAATAAATAAATAAATAAATAAATAAACAAATAAATAAATAAATAAATATTCGAAGGAAGATTTGGAGTCTTGCACTTTGCAGGTGGAAAAAAAGGATTCCTGAGAATTTCTTTTGATTTATTTTTGATATTGCAATTCAATCAAAACATTATTCTATTTTCTTTCTTTCTTTCCTTCAATACTATATTTCAAATTCATGGCTTCTTTTTCATTAATTGTTATTGTATGTCTGTCTCTCTTTCTCTCTCTCTGTGTGTGTGTACATGTACATACATGTATTCTGAACTATATCCTGTTGAGTCCATTTGAAGTTACTTGTACATAAATTTTCAGGGCTAGAGTTTTGAGAGTTTTAAGTATCTGGTCCTCAGACAAGTTACTGGATAGTAACACGGTCTGGATAGAGTCCAGTTAAGAATAAATTCTAGGTTGGTATTAGATCCGAGTTCAGGTAATATGTAAGTTTAAGTTAGGATATGATATTCAAGCAATTGCAAACTGAGAGTTAACAAACCTAACACAAAATAATCCTAATAATCCTAGAAGAAAAATAAAATCGCGAAAAAGCATGAACTATAACAGCAGTATCAAATTATCAGTGTTAAAAATTAATATACTTAAACACTAAGTAAAATCAACAGATTAAATTTAAACAAAGCTAAGATGTCCTTTTAAATATATATTTTATTTATTCCTTTTGTGCATTACATCCTGAACACTGAATACAGAATCCCCTCCCTCTAGTCTTCACAGCATCCCCATCTTTCCTCTCCCCCACATCCACTACTCCATTTCTCTTCAGAAAAAAATCAAGTCTCCCAGGAATATTAACCTAACACAAGATAACAAGTTGCAATAAAAGAGGGACAAAACCTCATATCCAGACCTGATGTGGCAACTGCATGGGAGGAAAGGGGTCCCAAAAGCAGTCAAAAGAGTCAAAGGCAGGCTCTACTCCCACTATTCTGAGTCCTACAAGGACAGTAAGCTACATATCCATAACATATAGGCAGAGGACCTGGCACAGATTGCCCCTTCAATCTCAGTGAACCCCTATGAGCCCTGCTTGAAGCTAAGATGTCTTAAACACACTTCTGAAAATCACATGTTCAGCTGAAACAAATAATGTGTGCTGAGAGCTAGTCCTGCTGATTATTGTTAATAATGTCATTATCTAAATCCTATGTAATTAAATAATTATATAGCAATGGAGTATTTCACTAGAACAGTTCTATAGGGTAAACATGCTTTAGATACTGAAATATGAATGTAGAATTCCACATGAAGTGGACTCTTGAATGTGGTGAACATAATTCTTTGGTTATACAACAGGGATTCTGTCCAGGTGGGCTTGCTGACTCACATAATTACACCTTTGGGATTGTAATATGACAAATAAAAGACCCAGACACAGATACTGGGTTCAAGCTGAAACTTTGAAAAGCAAAGCATCCAGCCGCTGGCTCTTACCACTACCTGTGCTCAGAGCAAAGAGGCCATCCTCAAACGTCTCTCGACTTCATTGCTTCTCAGATTCACTCAGACTGCTATGTTCTCCACATGGCTAGAAACTAATTCTCAGACTGAGTGCCTCTCTGCTTTATACCTGGGATTAAAGAGTTACTTCTGGTTCACTCTCCAGCAACCCAGGGTGGTCTTGAACTAAGAGATCCATGTGCCTTTCTCCTGAGTCCTGACATTAAAGGGATCTAGTACCACCTACTGATCTCTGTAGCTTGCGGCAGGCTTTGATTTCTGAATCCTCAGGCAAGCTTTAATAAATAATAAATAATACGTCACCACAAGGATCATTGCTTCCTCAGTTTTCCATCCACCAAGAGCCGCACTTTCTTAGCTATTCTTTCAGGGCTCAGACTCCTGCATGAGCCAAGGTGGCTACCAGCCACTTTAGTTTTCAATACTGTCATACAAAGAACTGTAGGTGTGATTATGCAAAACCAAGTAGAGCATTCATTTTTACATCCTGAAATTGGCCAGTGCAATTACGCTAGGGAATTGCATTCAATGTGTTTAATGAATGGGAACCCAGCAGATTCAACAAAAGGATCCTTATGATGTGAAAGAGGGAACAGAGAGACTTGGGAGAAAGATGGTGGTAAACATACACAGAAAAGTCACACTCCAAACCTCCAGCACTGCATCTGCTGCTATCTGATATCCTAAATAGAACACCAGTATCACAGACACTGATAGTAACAATTAGTAAATGGAACCTCCTGAACCTGAGGAGCTTCTAAAAGCAAAGCACATGGCCAAGAAGACAAAATGGCTCCCTATAGGATGGGAAAAGATCTTTACCAATATGGTTAAAATAAAAAACACCAATGATAGTTTATGCTAGAGAGGATGTGGAGTAACATTCCCCCCTCCAATGCTGCTGGGAATGCAAATTTGCACAATCTCTATAGAAATCAGTATGGCAGTTTCTCAAGAAAATGGAAATCAGTCCCCCTCAAGACCCAGCAATGCCACTCTTAGGCATATACCCAAAGAATGCACATTCATACCACAAGGACATCTGTTCAACTATGTTTATAGCAGCATTATTTGTAATAGTTAAAACCTGAAGCAACCTAGTTGCCCCTCAACCAAAGAATGGGTAAAGAAAATATGGTACATTTATACAATAGAATAGTACTCAGCATTGAAAATGAATGACATCCTGAAATTCACATGCAAATGGATGGAACTAGAAGAAACCATGGTGAGTGAGGTAACCCAGTCACAGAAAAACAAACCTGGTATATACACACTCATAAGTGGATGTTAGACATAGAGCAAAATATAACTATCCTCTAATCTACCACCCCAGACAAGCTAGGAAAAAACAGGACCTTAAGAGAGATATACATGGACCCCCGAGAAGGGGAAAGGGAGATCTCCTGAGTAAACTGGGATCATTGGAGGAGGGGAAATGGAAGCAAGAGATAGAGGAGGGGAGAAGGAGAGGGTGGAGGAGAACATGAGGGATCAGGAAGCTCCGTTTGGGGGAAGGACAGAGAAGGAGAGCAAGGAGGGAGATACCTTTATAGAGAGAGTGGTTATGGGTTTAATGAGAAACCTGGCACTAGGGAAACTTCCAGGCATCTACAATGATGACCCCCAATTAAGAATCTATACAATAGTGGAGAGGCTACCTTAGTGGCCCTTTCCCTATAAAGAGATTGATGACTACCTTAAATGGCATCAATGAGCTTTCACCCAGCAGTTGATGGAAGCAGAAACAGTTTCACAGCTAAGCAGTGACCCAAATCCAGTTTTACAGAGGGAAGATTGATGAGCAAAGTAGTCACGACCCTGCTGGGAAACCCACAGAAACAGCTGACCTGAACAAGTGGTATCTCATGGACCCAAGATTGATAGCTGGGGAACCTGCATAAGATCAAACTAGGCCCCCTAAATGTGAGTGTCAGTTGGGGGACTTGGGAAGTCTGTGGTACCACTGGCAATGATACTGTAATTATCCCTAATGCATGAATTGTCTTTTTTGGAGCCCATTCACTATGGAGGGATACTTTCTCAGCCTAGATACAAGGAGGAGTGCCTTGGTGCTGCCCCAAATGATATGACAGCTGATTATCCCCTGGGACAGACCTTACCCACTCTGAGGATTAGATGGGCAATGGGGGTGAGTGGGAGCAGGGGAGGGAGAAGGTACTGGGATTGGTATGTAAAGTAAGATTGTTTTTAACTTACATAAAAATTTTAAATTATGATAAAAATGTAGAGTTGAGGAGGCAAAATCAACATCTATTTGATATATATACACACAATATATCCTTAATAGAAAATATATATCCTATTTATTCACAAGTGTGTGGTTTGTACT